GGGGAAAAGGGTGCTGTCGCCCCTCCCGCGACCGCGAGGTCCCCCTCGACCTGCGGGGTGCGAGGACCACGAGATCCCGCTCCGGCGCCCACCGAAATCAGGCGTGCGTTGAGCTCAGGGAGGGGCCGAAGCTGAGCAGGAGAGAGGGAATGAAAAATGTGAAAGGCGAGAGTGCAAGCTGAACCGCAGAGTCTGAAAGGGAGCAACGTGAAGTAATTGGCAAACACTCTAGTCTTGACTGGTGATATGTGCCAGACGAGGAAAAAGTATGAGCGATCTGAGCTCGGCTTCGCAAGCATCAGCGCTGTTCATGTTGGTGAAGGTACACGCACAAATCCTGGATGAACTCAGCAGTTCATTGCATGGAGCTTGGCATGGGAGAAGAACGGGATGGAAGAGACCTAAGCATGCCTAATGCACACATCGGCCCTGCTCGCTCCTCCATTCTTCTGGGAAAGCTGGGACGAATTGGCGATATCGCCTGGACATCTTAGTGCCCCGTCCATCGAGCCCTTCCCAGAGGGGCATGCAGGTGCAACGTACGCAAGGAGTCACATTGAGCGCCCACACGCCAGGTGCAGGTCACTTCTTCTCACGAGAACTCGCCGATCGAAACGCGTCGGATCGGCGGAAATCGACGGCCAGGTCGGGAGAAGTCGAATCGGCAGAAGTCGGCAGGCTAGAAATGAAGGCCTCCGCCGAGAAACCGAAGCCCGCATCGGAACTCGAAGTCGAACCGGATCGGTCTCGGAATCGAAGTCGGAGGAGTCGGAATGTGCGCGGCGCTAATGCGAGAACCACATGTTGAGAAGGAATCGCCCTCAGCCCATGAAGCTCCCACGCATCTTTAAGACGAGCGCGCGCGGCGCTGAGGCGAGAGCCACACTGTGAGAACCACCTGCCCTCCCTCCGTGCAGCTCCCGCTCATTTTGAAGACGCATGTGCGCGGCGCTGAGAGGCGCTGCAGAGAAGAAGAGGCGCACCGAAGCCCGCATCGGAAAGCTCGAGGCCGAACCGGATCGGCGTCGGCACCGGAGTCGGAGGGCGTCCTCCCCTGGGCGGGAGGAGGCAGAGGAGGGAGAGGAGGAGGAGGAACCCTCGAGGGAGGGCGAGGAGGAGGGACAGGATACCCTCCTCGAAGGAGCCCCCCCGCCTCGCCCTGCCCTCCTCACGGGCCGCGAGGCCGCGCGGGCGCCGTGCGCGGCCTCGCGCGGGCCCGGCCACCCGACGCCCCGCCGGGGGGGGGGGCGGCTCTGCGCGGCCGGCCTCTGCGCCGCCGCGCGCGGCAGGGCGCCTCGCGGCCGCGCGGCGCCCCGTCCCGACGGGCCGCGGCGGGCAGCGGGGCCATCGGCCGCCGCGCGGGTCATATCCTCACCACGGGGTAGCTGCTGGTGCTGCTCGTGGGCTCCAGCCTGCCGCCCATGGCCTTGATCTCCGAGACGACCTGGTTCAGCTCGTCCACCTCGTTCGCGTCCACGATGGCGCCCTTGATCATCGCCTCGTCGTCCGCGTCGGTGGCCCTGCAGCTCAGGATGTCGACGTTCTCTTTGGTGAACTTGTCGGGGCCGGTCACGGTGATCTTCAGACCCAGCTGGCGTGCCCGGAAGATCTCGAAGACGCACCACGCGCGGGTGTACATGTCGCACTCCGCGTTCCGAACCACGAGGAACTCGCGGGCGAAGCGGAGGGCTTTCTCGAAGGGGGCGTCCATGAGGTCGGTCCCTACCTGTTTCTTCACCACCTCGTAGTGGGGGTTCTGGAGCAGCGCAAAACAACAGATCCACAAATTCACTTCGTGGGCCTGGATCCGTGTCTCCAGGGCTGCAACCACAGAGTCCACGAAAACACTGAAGTTCTCCCCCCAACAGTGCGACACGAACACGTCTATCTGCCTCAGGCTCTGCCAATTGACCATGCGGGCGTACGATGTGCGAGCCGCGGAAGTCTTCCTGATGATTGCCTTCTGCACGATCTCGGCGCACGAAGCGGCTCTGTAGACCTCGGTGCCCAGCTCCTCCTCCACCTCCCGAGCGAAGCCCTGCAGTTGTCGCAGTGAGAGGCACCACATGGCGGGGTGCAGATCTGGATCGCCCAGGCGCAGGGTGCGACATATCGAGTTGATGGTTCGGCTACACGCAAGAGTGACTCCAGGCAAGAGTGACCTGAGGTGCGCGACAATCGGAGGCCGCGGCGAGGCCAAACCCGAGCGCGCAAGACGCTGCTTTCGCATCGCGTTCAGTCATCTGGGGAACCCAGTGTGCCAGCACCAAAGGTCACTCTGGCGAAAAATCACTCCTACGTGTAGCCGGATGGTGCGCATCTCCGAAATCATCTGCTTGACCGCGCTCCGGTTCTCTTGACCGACCGCCGCAATCTTCTTGTGAACCAGGATGACCTCCAGAAGACTGCCCTCGGCGCTGCCGCCCTGCAACTGCCTCTGGCCTCGTGATCCTGATGCCAAGCCTTGACTCATGCCCATGTCGTCGAGGATGAAGCTGTTCGAACTGTTCGGCGGAGGCAACCTGTGACCGTCCTTCAGCCGGACGGTGTACACCACCGCGGGCGCCTTCCGCCGCGACTTCAGATTGCTGTGCCGCGATAGGACCACCAGGCGTCTGGTCTTCTCAAGCCGCAGCATCACCAGGTGCATGATCCAAAAACTATCACACATGACTCTCGTCTGGGCCATGGCCCTGGTCGTTGACCCCTCGAAATGGTCCAAGAAGAAAGGGTCTCCCTCTGTCGACTGCATCTCCCTGTCCACCTTGTCAGCCATGTCCGCCCTGTCTGACTTCGCGAGGTCGCCGTGGTCGTTGCCGTTCTGATTCCATAGCTGCCGCTCCAGGGTTCTGAAAGTGCTTCCCTCGACCAGATCCCAAAATCGGTTGCGGTGCAGCGACTGGTCGACCTGGGCCGCACCGACAACTCCCTGCTGCTCTGCCTCCTCCTTCGCCTCCGCCACGAGCTCAATCATCACGCGCTCCAGCTTCTGGTGCACCTCGGTGACCGTCAGCAGCCGATCCGCGAGCGTCCAGTCCCTGCCGGCCGCGGACTGCGACGGCTTCAGGCTGATCTTCGAGGGCTTCTCACTGGAGCGAAGGTCTCCACTGGAAAGGGTCGAGGCGGTGCAGGCGGTCTGCAGGATGCCCCCCTTCGTCGGGGTACCGCCGCCCGAGGCTCCCGAGAGGTAGCGTGCGGCGGTGATTCTGCGGGGGACGGGAGCCCTGCTCGGGGCCGTCATCGACACCCGCAGGACCAGGGAGCCCGCCTGCAGATGCTCTGACGTGACGGAGTGCCTCCTCACCTGGCTACCACCGTTGCCAAGGATGATCTCGCCCACGAACTCCTGCTTCTCGAACTTCGAATAGGGCAGCAACGCCCTGCCCAGGAAACTATCCCGCGAGTCCGGGTCATGGTGCCAAACGTTGAACACGAGCGTCCCGCCTTTAGGGTAGTGTTGCAACTCCAGCCTTTCTTTCCACTCAGGATTGACGCCCTGCGTTGCGACACAGGTTTGAAGGAGCACTGTGTCGGAACCCTCGACCCCCAGCGTGCAGTACGCTGCCGGCAAGGCGTCGCGCAGCTCGTCTGTGTTCGAGGCTTGCCAAGACATGTGTACTCGAGGAAGCTGCGTGGCCCCCACGAAGTGGACGAACAGCGGGGCGTACGTGCACTCTTCTGGCGACTGGTTGGACTCCACGGAAAGTACCTCCTTCATCTCATCGTTGCTTTCCGGCAGGGGGTCCGCCAGGGCCTTCGTCACCTTTTGATAGCCCCGCATCTCGGCTTTGTTGCAGAGGAAATCCCTGACAACGTCGACGAGGTAACCCTGCCCTTCTGCAGCGGCCGTGTACAGCTCGAAAGCGGCGAGCTGCTCCTTGTGGGCGAGGTTCTTGTCACTAGAGCCGTTCATCCTGCGCAAGTAGGCGACAAGGAATCCTTTGATGCGATCTGCAAGTTCTTCGAGCGTCATGTACTTCTGGACTTGCTCAAGGATGCCGCGTGCGTCCCTGTCGAGCATGTAGTCGACATCCTGCGTAACGCAGTGCAGCTGCAAGGCCATGGGATGGCTGGACGGGACAACAAAGCGCATGCTGGCATCGCAAAGTGAAGCGACCGACAGCTGAACATCATCGGCGCCCTTATTTCTCAGGTAGAGGCGCAAGTATCGCGATATCATTGCCCTGCGCGTCAGGGACGCCTGCAGGTCATGCATGCTTTGCGCGCGGGCCGAAGTATTACCGAGGCGCCTCTTTGCCATATCTTCGACCTCGGTGAGATTCTTGGACTTGGACCAAGCCATGCTCCTCATGTTCATTGATCTCCTCACCTGGTTGTGAGCACTGATCGGCTCACGCTCCCGAAACGACTGGAAGTACTCCAGAATATCCGTGCTCATGGAGCTGGAGAACCCAGCCCGCCGCTTGCACGCCAGGCAGGACCACCGGTGGCTTCTCCTCCCCAGCTCCGCCATGAGCGGTGCCGCGTCGCGGACGAAGCCGAAGGACCCGTGGCTGACGTTCATCGCCCACAGGCACAGGAGGCCCCCGCGCAGCTCGAGGCCGGCGACCTCGGAGTCCAGCTCCAGCGCCGCATTGCTCTTCTCGAACAACTGACTGTAAGGCACAATGCCGTGAAGCGGGATGTCACGTTCGTGGTCGTCTACTCCGTACTGGACGTACGACTGCCTCTCCGATTTGAGTGACAGCGCTGCTAAGCCGGCGAGGTAAATCGCAGGTCCGAAAGCCACGTCTGATGACGCACGGCCGACAAGCCATTCTTCCAGTCGCCCATCTGCAAGCGATGGCGCCTTGCGGACAAGATACTCGGTGCTGTCTGCATCCTTCGGAAGCAGCCTCCCGCTGTTTGACCTAGTCATCTTCGGCTGGATGGTTTGTAGCGTGCAGGGATCTTCTATCACCAAGATGCAATAATCGGCTGCGTCGCACAAGATCGGAACTATGTCAGCAACTATGAGATGGTCGTTCCGGCCGAACTCCAGCACTGGCGTGTCACTCCTGACGACACCAGGTGCTCGAACGTGGTCGGCGACAATGCAACACCGGACGGCTTCCGGGTCGAACATGCGATCCCGGCAAAACCTCAGGAGAGTGCTGGACACGGCCCTCTCGCAGTGCTCCCTGTCGCTCCTGAGCATCTCCGGCGACGGGGACGGCCTCGACATGAACGGCAGCACGGACGGCAACATGCCGCCGCCTCCGACTGCGGCCGTGTCCTGCGGCGTGCCTGCGTGCCCGCCTCTGCCCGGGGGCGGGCACGCCGACGGGGGCGCGGGCGAGCCGGGCCGCGGGGCGTGCCTGTCGCCGTCGGGCGGGCGCGCCGGCGGGTCGAGGCTCAGGCAGATCAGCACCTTCACGGCCCAGGACGTGCACTCGTCGGTGGTGGTCAGGCTGCCCCCGGGGTCGACCTTCCAGCGCCACACGTTCTCCTCTCGGCGGCGGACAGGCCTCCCTCCAGTATATACCTCCCCTTCGTGAAAAAGCGGCCTGGGGCAGAAACCGACGGCCCCGGACCCGCAAAAAAGGACGGCCGCGGCGCCCTCTCGCGAACCGAAAAAACGGCCAGTTCCTGAATCGGCGTGTCAGGGCAGGAGGTCTGCCCACCTCCGAAGCCTGCCGTACACGCAGGAGTGGCCTCGGGCAAGAGCGGCCTCTGGTGCGCGGCTTGAGGGGGCCGCGGGGAGGCCAGGCCCGAGCGCGTGGGCCCACGCCAGCACCAGGTGGTCACGCTGGCGAGGGGCCACTCTCGCACTCTCGCGAGCCGAAAACGGCCAATGCCTTCGTCGACGTGTCGGGGTGGGAGGTCTGTGCACCCCCGACTCCAACGCACTGGCACAGGTCCAGAGGGAGGTGCGCCGTTGTCTCCCGCGTCTTGGGGGCTCTCGCGGAGCCCCGGGACCGGTCGAGAAAACGATGTGGGATGAAAAAAAACGCTCCCAGGAGGGGCGGTCCAGAGCTCCAGGGACCCCGCATGGAGAGGGCAGGAGGTCTGTCCACCTCCGATTCCTTCAGGTCGAGCGCGTCCTCCTTGGCCAGCCGGCTGGGGTCGGAGGACATGCTGTCCCGGGTGTTGCCCCTGCGCGGGCGGCTGCGCCCGCTCCGCAGGCTCAGGCTCCTCGGGCTCCTCGGGAGGGGCCAGAGCCAGAGGTGGTGAGCGAAGGGGGGCCTTGGGACACGCAAAGAAATACACACACAGATAACAAGATTCCCCATATTTTCCCATGCTTTTGGGGGTTTTCGTCTCCCCCTCCCACTTCCCATGTTTCCCCCACATTTTCTGGGAAATCGACGAAGAATTGTGTCTGTGTGTTTTTCTCCCTCCCGAGCGAGGTTCGCCCCCTGGAGGGCGGGGTGAAGGGCAAGCAGGCAAGCGAGCCTGGCGTCTGGACGGCACACTGACAACACGGAGCACGCTCGCCTCACTTGCCTCTCCCTCCCTCTCGGTGCAGAAGTGCGTCAAGGAAGGGTGCCCACTGCTACTCGGGACCCCGACGGAACCGATTCTCGTCCCAGAGTCTGGCAGGCGAGAAGGAAGAGGAGAACTGGCGACACGCACAAAGGGGGAAGGACGAGGAGAGCGGCTTTCTCAGAAGGCAGGGTGCTTCTCACAAGGGCCTGGCCCCCTCGCAGAGGCGTCTGGGGATGAGTTTTGCAGGGCAGACATAGGACGATAATGATGTCATGATAAGATTGGCCCAGGATGCGTTCTAGGATTTCCAGAGTATCTAGCGGCCCTCGTTCCTGCAGCCCGTGTGGAACATTGCGAAATCTAGGAAATCCGGGACATCTTGGAGATCTTGGAACGCAACATCATCATCATCATCATCATCATCATCATCATCATCATCATCATCATCATCATCATCATCATCATCATCATCATCATCATCATCATCATCATCATCATCATCATCAGCATCAGCAGCAGCAGCAGCAGCAGCATCAGCATCAGTATCAGCATCAGCATCAGCATCAGCATCAGCATCAGCATCAGCATCAGCATCAGCATCATCATCAGCATCAGCATCATCATCATCATCATCATCATCCTCATCATCCTCATCATCCTCCTCATCCTCATCCTCATCCTCATCCTCATCCTTATCCTCATCATCATCATCATCATCATCATCGTCATCGTCATCATCATCATCATCATCATCATCATCATCATCATCATCATCATCATCATCATCATCATCATCATCATCATCATTATCATCATCATCATGGCCTCTTACTCTTCTGAAAACAAGGCTCCAAGAGGCGGACTGGCGCCTCAACAAGGCGGCCGCCCATCTCGCACCTGCCCCGCCCTGCCCCGCCACCCAGGTGCTCAACCGTCCTTGTTCGGCTAGGGCAGGTTCGTGACGTGACGACCCTGGCGCTGGCTTCTGACACCGCGTCGATCGCTCGACCTTGAACGATCGGCGGCTTGCCGATCGCCCGATCGTTCCATGCCAGCCGATTCGGGGCAACTGGCGGTGCTCAACCTTGAACACCCGCGGCGGGGTCGCAGCCGGTCGGCACGACGCGAACCTTCGGCGGTGGACAAGCCTCCCTTTAAGTTAGCCTTCCCTTAGTGAAAACGGCCTGGGACCGAAACCGGCGGACCCGGACCCGCAAAAATGACGGCCGCGACGCCCTCTCGCGAACCGAAAACGGCCAATGCCTTCATCGACGTGTCAGGGTAGGAGGTCTGCCCACCTCCGAAACCTACCGTACACGCAGGAGTGACCTCGGGCAAGAGTGGCCTTTGGTGCGCGGCTTGAGGGGGCCGCGGGGAGGCCAGGCCCGAGAGGGTGGGCCCACGCCAGCACCAAGCGGTCACGCTGGCGAGGGGCCACTCCCGCGCGTGGCCGCCCTGCGTCTTTCGCTGCCCTGAGCTCCCCTGGCCGCTGGTGTCGCCGCTCTGATCGCTCCTGTTGTGCACGAGCCTGGAGGCTCGGCCCAGGGTGCCCACGTCCTGCTTGACGGTGTAATCCTTCGAGAAGGTGGGGCCCTCCTCGAGCCTCTCGCGGAGCAGCTCGCCCTGAATGGCCTCGAGGCGGTCAAGGAAAAGCCCGACCTTGGCGGCGCGCCTGACGTGGCGCCTCCTCAGCTGCCGAAGGCAGAGGAACATCAGGAGCAGCAGGACCAGGGCCGCAACCCCAGCCGCGGCGACCATCATGCCGATGGAGTTGAACTCCTCGAGCGCGGCCTCCTCGGCCATCCGAGCGAGGGCCTGCGCAGAAAGCCTCCTGTCCGGAGCCCCGAACTCGCCAGCCTAATGGGCCAGAGACGTGTTAGAGTGACGTAGTCGTCTCTGGGCTTTGCAGAAGTGTACCTTATTGTGGCTTCGGGCTTCGATGGCGAAGCTTTGGTGTGGTCATGTTCCGGTGAGTGTTGCCATGAGTCTGCCCAGCGTATGCCTCTCCCCCACGCCAGCTGCACACGACTGATTGGGGAACCACCAATAAATGGAAGCTTCCCAACCGCCACAAGCAAACAAGCAGGTTACAGTGGTGATATATGTATATATATGTTGTATATATATATATTGTGTATATATATATTGTATATATATATATGTATAGACTGGCGGAGCGGGTAACGCGGTCCGTCGCCCCACCGGGGAACGGCGTGCGAGATCCTCGCCGCACGGTTCTGCCAGGAAGTGCTTGTGTTCCATCGGCTCGCCTGCACACGCTTCGTTCTCCACCCCCAAGATCCCAGCCATCCCTCCCGGGGTCCTCTCCGCGGCCCGCACGCTCCGCAAGCCCCCGTGCAGAGGCTGCACCACGGAATGGTCGGCCGCTGGCCGCCACGCTGCCCTCCAGTGGGGCACGCCTGCACAGGGGAGGCCTGCGGACGCTTCACGACGCCGTCTGGGACAGCTTGGGTTGGCTTGGGAGTCTCTTGGACTGATTCGGCCCGTTGTTGAAGCCCTCTTGGCCCGTTCCGAACCCATCTGAAGCCCTCTTGGAGTCATGCTGAGCCCAAAACTCCAATGGTCAGACACAATAGAAGCAACAGTGGAACTCCACAACTTTGCCCATACCAGGCTCCTATGTGCGCCTCTTGGAGCCTCTCTTGAAGCCTCTTGGGACTTCTCAGGGCGCCGTGGGATTGAAGGCCTCTTGGGTCGCCCGGGAAATCTTATTGGAGCCATCCTGGGTCCACTGGGTGACCTCTTGGCGCCCTCTTCTGCCGTCTTGGACACCCCCAGAGGGCCCTCGCAAGCCTACTCCAACGCCCAATGCTCCTTTTTCCGCTCCGTGCCCCCCTTTCGGCCGCATCCGCCGTGTTCGACCTCTCCAGGAGCCCTCTTGGGAATTTTTCCGAGCCTCCTGGGGCATCCCGAAGCCGTTGTGGGCGGCTGTTGAGGCCATCTGGGACCGTCTTGAACCCCTCTGACGCTCTGTGCCTTTTACGTTGTGCTCTTCTTTCCTCTACGAGGCCTCCGTCCGTAGCCATTGTGGCTCAAGTCCGGAGCAAGCGGCTCAGAGACCTTGAGAGTGGCAAGGGGGACGTGCGCCCCCACCTGCGATCCCTGAGCCCCGCGTTCAGGAACCTTCTTTTGTGAGCTCCTGTCGGAACAACGCGTCCCCTTACCCGACATGGGAAAGCAACAGGATGCGAGAAGCACCACGTCTCTTGCGCGCCGTGCCGCCACCGCTGGAGCTGGAAGACCAGGGCGTTCTGCTCCTCAGCGCAGCGCCACGCTCGCCCTGCTCGAGGCACCGCGGCGCGATGCGGCCCAGGGCGTCTTGGCGGGCTCGCGCGGTGCCCCAGGCCAAGGAGGCTCGCGCCCACGGCACGGCTCGGCCGGCCCAGCGGCCCGCCTGCCCGCCCGACGGGTGGCGGTGGGGGTCCGCGGCCGCCCGCCCTCGGGGCACCGAGGGGCTCGGCGCCGCCGCGGCGCGGGGCGGCGGCGGCGCTGGGCGGCTCGGCGACGGGCCGACCTCCTCGCGCAGCTCCAGCTAGACAAGGACGCTCCACGACTCGCAAAGTAGATACTCGCAAATGGCCTGGATCCGCCGCAAGGGATTTACGATATATATATATATATATATATATATATATATATATATATATATACATATTACACAAAGGCAGACCTGTATATTTCCGACGCTTGCGAGTAGGCACTTTGCGAGTAGTGGAACGCGCCCGGCGACGAGCAGCGGCTCGGCGACTCGGCGGGCACAGCAGAGCTCCGGGCGCTCGAGGGCGCCACCGGGCCGCCGCAGCAGCCAGCCGAGCCGCGCGGCCGCCCCTCCTCGGGGCCGGGACTGCGGCGAGGGGCGCCGCTCGCCGCCGTGCCGAGGCCTGCCTCGACCAGTGCGCGGCCAGGGAGGGCGAGGCGCGAGCTTGGCAGGAAGAGCGTCGCGTGGCAACGGCGGCGGCGGCGGCGGAGGCGGCGGTCGAGGCCAAGCAGGCGTGGCTGGGCGAATTCCACCACGGGCTCGACAGGGCCAGTGGAGGGCGCTCTGCCAGTGCCAGCGCGACGTCGGCGTCAGCGCTCCCCGCGGGCTCGCAGGTCAATGTGTCACAGCTGCTCAACGCCGAGTCTGAGATCGACTCTGTGGTCATTGTCGACGCCGACCTGCTCGATCTCACCGACCTCGAGATGGAAGAAGCAGATCGGAAGCTAGGGGGCCAAATGCGAACCCTACCCCTCCCCCTCAGAAATCGTGGGGGGTAGGGGTAGGGTTCGCCTGTGGCCCCCTAGAAGCGCTGACTCAACCACAAGGCCAACATGGGAAAAGAAATCCAGAACGCCACCTTGTCTGCCATCGGCCCGGGTTCAGAGAACATCCAGAGGTTGCGGCAGGAGGCGAGGGAGATGCGCCAGCGGCTCTCCACCAAGCGCGCCAGGAAGGAGGAGCCTGCCGCTCCTACTGTGGCCGCAGAGGGTGCAGGCACTCCTCCTCCTGCCGCTGGCGCTTCTGACGCCATCGACGGAGGCGGTGGCGCATCCAGCGGAGTGGCCTCTCCTGCTGCAAGCGCAGCTGCCTCTCAGCCAGTGGAGCTGCCACCACCACCACCGATCAGACTGCTGCAGCCATCCAAGAGGCCCGGCAGCGGGTCGAGGCCAAGACTGGCATTCGACGGAGGCGTGCATTTGATGGGCCTCCCTTCTCCTGGTGGCCTGCCGCCGCCGAGGTCAGACCTTGATGGGAACAGTAAGGAGATGTTGGCCATGATGTCCAGCTGGAGTGCTCGATGGACGTGGAACCTGGAGGGTCAAACTTTTTTAGATCAGCCGTCGTGGATGAACTGGTGCGAAGCTTGGCTTGCCGAAGTCCCGAGGCAGCCTGCTAACGGGGAGCTGGCGGCGGCGTTCGTGCGTCGCTTCAGCCCAGCAGCGAGGCTCAGCCGAGGTGTTTTTTGCACGAGGCCATCACCGAGGCCTGTTTGGAAGAATGGGCCCGTGGCAGGGGTCGTCGAGCCAGGTTAATCATCATACCGAGGCCGATAACCCAGGCGGGACGCGAGTGGTATGCTCGCCATCACTAGGACCAGTTGCGGAGCATCGTTGACATGTTCAGGGCGCTGCTGGACCGCCGCAGGCGGGCGATATCTTTAGGGGCGCACAACCGTCCTTGGGGAGCCAGTCGGCCAAGGGCCTGGGCAGACCCCAAGGGGAGGGGGTAGCGAGCTTGCGCGGGAGACCGCAGACATGCGGGCGGTCCATGCCCGCCACCCCCCCCTGCGCAGCCTCCGCCCTGTGCCGCTCACGAGCGGACCGCAGCCCCGACGCCGAGCGACACCCCCCGTGCTGCGGCTGCTTCTTCGGGGCGCACCGCCGTCCTCGGGGAGCCCTGCGGCCACTGGCCTGGAGCAGACCCTAAAGGCTGGGGGCAGTGAGCTCGCGCAGGGGGCCGCAGACGTGCGGGCGGCCAAAGCCCTCCCTCTGGCTGAGCCTCCACCCTGCGCCGCTCGTGATCGGGCCGCAGCCCCACGGCCGAGCGACTCCTCCCGCGCTGCCCTCGGCGGCCAGATCGAAGTGGCAGCGGCCTCCTGCAACTCTAACGCGCGGTCCACGGGCCTGAAAGCTCGGGAGTGGAGCAAGGAGGTCAAGTCTCACATCTACGACATCGCTCTCTGTTTCAGGTGAGCCGACTCGAGAGCCCACAGTTCGCGGGGCCCCGCTCTTGGGCCTACAAAGCGGGTTGCACCTCCACTTTCGGCTCGGCGGCAAGGACTGGATTTAGAGAGCGTGAGACGCCAGGTGGCACTACGGTTGTGGTCAAGACGCAGTTTGGCGCAGCTGACTTTGTTCATCCTCGGCTGTCTGATCGGATGGTGGCAAGGGGAGTGGCAGTCTCCAAGAGTAGTCAGGTGCTGTTTTTTTCGGTTTATGGGCATAAGACATTGGGCCTTGTAGGGGCCAAGCTGGACTTCCGAGACCACGTCTGTGAGGTGGTCGCTGAGGCTGGTATCCCTTTCATCATCGGCGGCGACTCGAACATCGACGCTGAGGACTTGCGCCAGTCGCAGTGGACGACTCATCGGGGGGCCAGCGTTGCGCGCCCTCCAGGGGCCACGTGTCACGATAGGTGTTACGACTTGTTTGTGGTCAACTCCTGCCTGGACTACTACGCGCGCCGTTGCCAGGCTATTGTGGACACACCAGTCGGGCCCCGCCAGGCAGTAGAGGTCAAGCTCCGCGACTTGGCGGGCCAGGCCAAGGTCTGGAAGCGAAATGTGTCCGGACCTTTCCCGTTGCCCTAGTCTTGTGGATGCCACGACAGTGGACACACTAACAGTCCTACCATGGAATTTAAAGTGTGGTGTCTAAACTGTCGGGAACATGTCCTGAACATGTTTTTAAACATGTTTTTTTGCTTCACATGTCTAAAAACGTTTGACACATGTTTTAGACATCTGGGAATTATTTGGAAACATGCTTCCTCTTCAGCAGGCCCTAATGTTACCGAAGGAGGCCTCAAAAACGGCTCAAGAGGCCCCCTAAGACGGCCCTAGAGGACCCCCAGAGAGCCACCAGGCGGCCCCAATAGAGACCCCCAAGACGGCCTCCGACGGGGGCAGACGGCGCAGAGGTGCCCCAAGACGGCCCAAAAGGCCCAAGAGGCCCCAAGAGGACCCAAAGAGGCCCCCACGAGGCCCTCAGGGGCCCCCGAGATTGATCGTCCCTCCACAGCGCCAGAGGATGAGGCGGGGGAGGGTCCCTCCGCTGGCCCCTCCCCGCCGGCAGGGCGCGAGGCCCCTGGCCGGGCGCTCCAGGAGTGGC